ATTATTGTCTGGGTTATGTCGCATTGATATGATTTATGTTACAGTCTGTATTGTCCTTTGATAAGTAATTTATTTATTGAAAGATAAAGAAAAGTTGAATATCAAAATTAATTTTCTTTTAAAAAATATATAGATGCATGTGGTTTCTAATAACTAACATTTTGAGAAAAATGCATTCTTCATAGAAAGTTTTTGCATATTCTAAAATTTCTGATCACCTTTATACTTTTTCAACCGTTCTAGAGAAAAATAAAAAAATATGAAGTCCTAAAATTCAAAACGCGTGTATATGACAATATTATTTAGTTTTCATTCCTTGAGAGATGATTATTATTAATTTATGATTAACGTTATTGTTTTTGCTATTTTAAAATGTTAAAGAGCACAAAATATATTTAGTTCAGTGCTACTGAACAGATGATAATAGCGATAATAGTTATTGTCGAGTTGTTGAAGAATTTAACGAAAAATAGCATAATTTTCTAAGTTTTTGGTGACTGGATGAACTAGGGAGAAAGAACCAAATAAATTTCTGTTTTGTTTTGTTTTCTTTATTATTAATTAAATTATTATTTATATTTGATTAATTATAATACTTGTTTGATTACTCATAATCACATTATATTACAAACGTGTCTTATATGGAGTTTAATTTCTTAGTAATTAGTCGATGCAACAACCACCAAGAAGATTACTCAGTAATAATGGAAACGAATTAATTTTACCACAAGACGCATTTTTTGGCCTTATAAAATTCTTTTTCGTGTTTTTTTTTCTTTCTGAAATATTAGATAAATTCGAAAAAGTATAAAAGGATGTAACAATTTTAGACAAGCAAATTTTTTGATTAAAATCCAATTTTTTTCCATAAACGTATTTTGATGGAAGTATTTGTATATAGAGAAATATACAGGGTGGTCCGAACTGTATTCCGGAAACTTCGGCAGCATATTCTGCAGATAAAAATAAGTAAAAATGTTCGTATAGATGTATGTCCAAAAATGCTTAGTTTCGGAGATACAGGGTGTACAAGTTTCATTTTTATTTCGATTTTTCCCAAATAATGTCTGCAGTAACGTCAATATTTGGATTAAAATTGGTGTCTGGGAGTTTTTTGACATGAGAAATTTTATTTTGATGTCAATGTAACTCCTACTAGTAGAGGGCGCCACCTACATATTTTTTAACTTTTTTGAAGAGTAATAACTTTTCGTCCGTACCTGTATAAAACTGCTGAGTAAAAAATATACATCTACGATGCCTTTTACGTAAAAATGTCTCTTGGTAAAAATCGCTACGAGTAATGGTTTTCGAGATATTTGGAATCGAAATTATCAATGCCTGTCATCACTGACATGAATAATTAAACATGATGTTGACTAAATAGTTATTAGACTGAGATCATAAATTTGAAATGTTTCTGTACCAAAAGTTCAACAAAAACTGTTTTATCATTTTTTTTTGCAGAAAAAAATATGATTGATTTAAAAAAATAAAAATTTCCCAAATTTATTATTTCAGTGATATAACTATCTACTCAACGTGTTTATTTTTCGTTAATAATGGCATGTATTGACTATTTCCATTCTAAATATCTTGAGAACGGTTGCTCGTAGCGATTTTTACAAAGAGATATTTTTTACGTAAAAAATCACGAAGAGATGTATATTTTTTCCCTCGGTAGTTTTATACAGGTACGGACAAAAAGTTATTACGCTTCAAAACAGTTAAAACACATGTAGGTGGCGCCCTCTACCAGTAGGAGTCATATTGACATCAAAATCAAATTTCTCATGTCAAAAAACTCCCAGACACCAATTTTCAACTAAATATTGACGTTACTTCAGAAATTATTTGGAAAAAATCGAAATAAAAATGATATTTCTACACTCTGTATCTCCGAAACTAAGCATTTTAGAACATACATTTATACGAACTTTTTACCTATTTTTATCTGCAGAATATGCTGCAGAAGTTTCCGGAATACAATTCGGACCACCCTGTATATTAATCTTTATTAAAGACAGAATAATTTTTATAAATATGTAAAATATTGTTCAGAGAAAAAGGTATCAAATAGAAGATAAGTTAAATATTAGTAGATGAAATAGGAAACCTTATGTAGTATATACATACATATATCTGACGTCAATGCAAAAGCATAAACTGAACAAGCCCGTAATTAAAAAGTATTGATTTCTTGAAAAACTAATAAAGGGCAGTTTTAATTACAAATGCGGGTGTTAATAAAAGTTTCTATTATTGTCGCCCCCCTGCAAATGCACTCTCCCAGTCGATATTTGCTATTTCTCCTGGAAACTGGCTAAATAGCGAAATCGAATAAGGGAGATGACCAGGGGCGTCCAGCGCTGACCCTCGAAAAGCCATTCCTTAGATCTACCGTTCGATTTGTTAAGGTTTTAAACCTTTGGCCATCAAAAATCGTGATTTTTTTCCTTGTCAATACAATAAAGACAAATTTTGGGTGAAATAAATTTATTTTTTGGAAAAATTCTGTATTTGTTTGGTGATTTACTACCCCTTTGACGGGCGACCCTGCGTGGATATTCCTGAATTGAGGGAAACGCCGCATGAATCATACTTCCTTGCCATAGTCCACTCTCACAAATATTTAATGATTTCGCCATTAGCAAGACTTTTCTTCCTGTAGTGTTGTCTGCGAATACAGACCGAACGTTGAAATATATGTAGGTTCATAAAAATATATCGATCTTTCAATTTATATTTTACATCTTTCTTTTATTCTTTTTTTGTCCCTTCTTACATTTCATGTTGTTTACTTGCTTTACAATCATTAAATATAAAAGTACATTACTTTCTTTTTCTTTTTATATCTACTCTTATTCCGCGAATATCTCATTTAATATTGATGCCAAATGTTCTTAAGATTTTAAATTTTTATTCATTTATGTAAAAGCGATTTTTTTAATATACGCAATAATCCTGTTTTTGAATTTTTCGTATTCATATATTAATAAATTTACTTAGCCAAATTAAAACATTATCTTCACTTTTAGGGCTTTAAAAAAAAATAAAATTTATGAAACAAATATGAAAAAGAAGGAAAAAAAACAGATATTTCTTATAGTATTCGAGATTGAAGGAGAGACAAGTAATAAAATATGAATTAAGGTTTTAAGCAAAATCAGGATATTTAATGATCATTCTTTAAAAATTGATAAGCAAAAGCTTCCAGGTCGTAGGGTGTTATTTTTATACTGTATGAATTAAACTGGGGAATATTTGTGATATCGATGATGTTAAGTTAATAAAGTATACAGGGTGTGATCATGTACAAGAGTGCTAGGTTTGTTATTTAGAGGGCCTCAAACGTTAAAAAATAAACACGTTTTTTAGGATCTTTTTAGAACCGGATATTCCGATTTGAATGAGATTTGGGGATCCTATGTTTTGTTAAGCGCTTTAACATTTGACTTTCACAAAAAAAACTAAGAAAAAGTATGCGAAGGGTAAAGCCTACCCCCACCCCTACATAAATTTTAGTAGAAATATTTTTCAATTGAGAAAAAAAGGAAGACATTAAAGAGAAATGAAATATACCAATTTATTAGAAACAATTAAAATTTGACAGCATTAATGTCAAATTATAGGCAAGTCAGCTTCTTATTTTTTCAGTACGTTCAAAATTAAATTTAAAATCCTTTCCATCTTTTCCTGTCGACCTTAAATAAAAAATCTCAAGTTCAAATTGACCAATAAAAAGACAGACAGAATTTAACCCAATTTAAGAATTCGATTTTGACCAGCCCTCCGTCAATTTTAAAAAGCGTTTTCATCCTGTTATTTTTTTGAGGGGCATATTTTTTGTCGGCAGCTTTTTTATTTTATTTAAGCCTCGACCGAAAAATAAACTTTCTTATTAGATATCGATTTGATTTAGATAATACGATCATATAAAATTGTCCTATCAACAACGTTGTTAAACTCCGGGATTTCATTTTGTACATTTTTATAGTTTCGTTTCACCAGCCCATGGGCGATATGAGATTTGCTGGTGATTTTTTTAATAACACAATTCCTGTTGGACGTAAATATTATTTGGCACGTCCAACTTATATGTTTTTTAGTTTTCTATTGATGCTTTTTTACAGAGGCTTTTTAAAGAACAGATATGATTTCATAAAAACGACGTCACAGTAGACGCGTGGAAATAATATTTGTGTTCAAGCTTGCTGAAGATCTTAACAGTGAATGTCATCTGAATATCAGTTATTTGAAGCTCATTTTAAATCTAAAAAACTACAGTATATTTTCCAAGCATAGAATACATATAAAACACATTAAGTTCAAACTGAACTGTTATTTCTGCGTCTTCTATGATGTAGTTTTTATTATGTCATACAGTATTTATGCATTTCCTGAGCAATATTTTGTTTTTGATATTTTCTTGTTAGTAAAATATCAAATCCCTTCTTAGAATCATAAAATATCTAAAGCCGTGATCTGATTTCTTGAAAACTCTATTTATCGAAACGTATAATTCTTTGCTCATTTATGACTACAGAGAGATTACTGGTTCCAGCAAAGAATTATTAAGCATACCATTATTAAATAACCGGTGCAGCCTCAAAGAAAGTTGAAAAATATATGCAATATTATAATATATGTTCTTGGAAATTTTTTTTTTATAAATTTAACCATCGTTTTTATCAAAATATATTAAGCATCTATAGCAGGTGAAACTTCAGTATTAATTTAGTTTTAATTACCTGCTAGACCTACTCCCTAATCTCTAACATTGATAGCGTTCAGAGTGTAAAATAAACTCTTTTCTGTGTATTTTGATAAGTTAGTATTTTGATGTAACACTCTATGTTGAAATCGCAAGTGTATTAATGATTTATATATTGTTTCTGGCTCAGGATTAATTCATTTTGTGAATCCTTATTTTGACATAGAGAAATAAAGTGAGATGAGAGCTTTGTATAAGGGGTAAGACTGATATTGTTTAATTTCAGGGACCTACACGATTATTGCATGTCGCCTACAAGCATAAACGATGACATCCGTCACAATACCTTCAAGCACTGGTCCACTACATGGAGGTTACTCTTCAGCAAGGGAAGAACTAGCAGGCGGCGAATCGGATTTCGAATCAGCCCGAAGCTCTAAGCGCTGCTTGAGCTTGCCATCGACGTCAGAGTCCTGTAAGAAGCGGAGAAAACAGTCCACGCCCATAAGAATCTACAATTCCGAATCTCCCGAGTCTACATCCGCCGACGATGCAGAGTTAAAGTGTCCCTTGTGCCAACTGAAGTTTGATTCGACAGAACAAATGCAGAACCATGTGGCTTGCGAACATCATCCGGCCGAGTTCAAACAAGAGCCTGAAGAAGAAAACCGAACGGCGTCTTTTGAGGATGCTCCTCTTTGTTTGACAATGCCGCGACCAGACATGTGGACGGGGGAACTACCGAACAAGGAGTGGATGAATCCGATACCATATAGTAATACGAATTCTGTTTTCATGGCGATGTCGCAGTTCACCCAACCTGACAACATCCAAATCAAACCTATTCGAATTTTTAACCCGGACGCTTATTGCGATTTGTGCAACAAGGAGTTTTGTAACAAGTACTTTCTGAAAACCCACAAGGCCAATAAGCACGGTATTTACACTGACGTGACAAGCGAACAGCAACTGCCAAACACCGTCAATATTCCCACTTTCGCTGCTAGCAACATGAACATCAAGTTACCTACCTCCGTGCCAAGTGTAGAAATTGCCATTAAAAGCGAACAGAAAACTCCAACAAATATTTTGAATCCATACAGTGTGGTTTTCCCTTGTTCGTTTCCAAATAAATTTCCAAAACCAGTGGCTTCTGAAAATGAGCCAAGCGAAATCCAGAATTTTTCCATTCCAACTTCCAATGGACCTTCTTCGTCCAGCGAAAGTGACAAGCTTATTCCGGAAGAACAAGTGACGGAAACATGTTCTAGTCCTATCAACACACAAACCGAATCTACCTCAACAAAAAATGAATCTGACGCTAACATTAATATTTACGACTCTATAAAGATCTCTCCTAGTCAATCTAGTCGGGAATTAGATCTCTCCAATCGCCTTAGAAGAATAGGCGTAATGAATCCTAAAGCTTTCTGTGAAATATGTAACAAAGAATATTGTAATAAGTACTTTTTACGCACCCACAAGATGAAGCGTCATGGAATCTACATCCCGGATGACAGGGATCCAAAGATGGAAGGCAACTCTTGGCCTCCCAGTATCCAAACCAGTCCTTTGAACCTTATCATGACCGAACAGACCCTAGTTCATGACCGCAAGACCACATCTCCCAATGATATCAGTTGTGACTTATGCGGCATTAAATTTCAAAATTCTAGTTTATCTCAGCTCCATAACTTTACGGTGCACGGGAAAATGGCAACAAAGGAATCTGATAGTAACCTAAATGTGACTTTCGGTGAGGATGCAAAAAAACAGTCGATACAAGAGAAACCAGTAAATGCCGAAGCTATCAGCGAAGATTTACAAAAATTGCAAACGATGATTCTTCAATTGAACGACTTGGATGTAACTAAAGTTTCAACCACTTGCAATACCTGTAGCAAAGAGTTTGAAAATCGATTTTATTTGCATGCTCATATGGTTACCGAGCATGGAATGCTCATGGATGACAACACGGATTTCGAAAAAAACGGAGATTCAGAAAATAGTAATAATAACACATTGTGCGATTTATGCGGCAAAGACTTACAAAACGCCGAAGAGATGAAAAAGCATATATTAGAAATGCATTCTAACGTATCCAACATAACTGTATCTGAAGCCGGCAAAGAAGAATACAGTGGCGACTTGACATCACCCGATAAATCCACAAACAGAATATTTTTACCTGGTGCAAGTGTTTCAGAGCGTAGATTGTCCGTTAACGTCACTCCAACAAGCAGCTATTGCGAAATATGTAACAAGGAATTGTGCAACAAATACTTTATGAAAACACACATGCAAAGAATGCACGGCATCGAAATAGAAAATGGTGCGCAAATTGGGGGAGTTGTTTGTGATATTTGCAATAAGGAACTCTGCAGCAAGTATTTTCTTAGAGTTCATAAGCACAACACACACGGTATAGTTGAGTACGGTGCGAGTCTTCTACAGCCGAAAAAATCCGAAAGCGAGACAACTTCGCAGCCTTCCATCCCCACTCCCGAACCAGATCCAGGTTTGAAATCCAACGATCTTGCCGACTTAAGTCACAGGTACTTTACGCACTTCACCGAAGTGTGTCCTCTGTGCAGTCGCCGATTTAGAAGCACTAAGTGGCTTAAAGCACATTTGGTTGGCGATCATGGTCAAGCGGGTCTTGAAAAGTGGTCTGAGGTAGAGCAGCAACTTCTGGGTCAAAATCCCAAACTCTCTAAATCAATCAAGACGGAAAGAGCTAGTCCAAGTCTGAAAATTCCGAACGGTGGTCATGATACGGTACCGAAAAAGGTTGGAATTCAAAACGTATTGTCTAGTATCTTTGGATCGGATGAAATTAACGCCAAAACCTACCAGTGTTCCTATTGTCCATTTACATCACCGCTGTTACCTTTGCTCTTTATCCACGAAAGATCCCACGCAATCAATGAAAATGCCCCAATTAAATGTCCTGTCTGTCCTCAGTCTTTTTTAGAACGCGAACTTTTTCAGCGACATGTCTACACCCAGCATCCATTTTTACCATTTCCACCACTCTTTAACGGCCACTCCGATACGAATAAAGAAGCATCGTTTCAAGATGGCGTCGAAGACGAAGAAAACCTGAAACAAGAAGATGCAGAAGTTAATTTTCAACCGGTCAAAGCTACGAAACCCGCACCCAGGATCAACGTGGCTGAACTTCCGATGGAGGTGAGCCAATCTCTCAAAGATCTGGCCAAGAAAGCTCAGCTGCCAGCCACGTATGCCTTGCCACAGCAAAATTCGGATGCAAGTCAAGATGACAACTTCTCGGGAGCACCTGGGTATGTAATGCAAGCTTTTTTGTTAGAAGATTCTGCTTCTGAGCGCAGAGTTGTACCATCTGTCGTTTTTTTGCCGGTGCTTCAAAAACAACCAGCTCCTCTAACGGTTACTTTTACTCTTACCCCGGCCTAACCCCCATATTTAGTCTAATCAAATAAGATGATCTATCTAATAGGAATTTAATAGCATGTAGGAATTTTCAGTGGTAGAAAACCCGGATAAATATTTTAATGTTGTGAAATTATTTTCAATTTTGTTCTGGTACATTGAATAAATTCACTAAGGAAGGAGCACATCTACAAAATTGGTAGAACCGCGGCAGGGTTTCAAGATGACTGGGGGGGGCTAAAGTCCGGTTATCAGTGGTGTTCGATTTGTTTAACGTATTTATTATTTGTTACGTTTTTATGAAGTAATAAATGCGAGAATCTCTTAATTGTGGTTTACTACTCGCTATGTAATTACGTGCTAATGAAAAGTTATTTCATTATTTTTCAAGACCCGACAAAATATCTTCAGATTTCTATACTTTGCATACAACCAGTTATAAATAAGAAACAATAGGAAATAAACACAGCAAAGCTCAAGAAACTCGCAAAAACTCAAATTTAACGTCATTTAAAAATAGTATGTATTTGACATTTTCCTTAGTTTTTTATATTCAATGTTCTTAACGTTTGTTACCAGTATTGCCTTTTAACGGAAGCCAAATGTTAATCATCATCAATTTTATACAAAATATATTTTTAATAAGATATATAGTACAAAGTAAAAAAAAAGAAAAGTAGTGACGTATTTCACGTTATGTTCAATCTTCAATAAGATCTTATTTGATTAGACTGATATCCGACGTAAATTTGAGTAGATACGTTCTATTGAAAAGATTCCACGACACCTGTGATTTTATTATTTTAATTTTTACGTATAATTATTGTATAATCATAAATTATATTATAAAATAAGTGTATTCCTATATTCGCAAAGACCCCTCGTATATTACGAGGAACATATGAGCACATATTTTTATGCAAATTCAGAAAGACTGAGTGAATTTTATATATGATCTGTTGATTTTCACTTGAAATATATCGAGATACATGATGTTTTGTACGATAGAAAGCTTTAGGTGATGTTTAAAAGAAGTTCCTATTTTATATCTCGGTATAAAAGTACTATATTAGTTCACAAGAGAGTTATGTATTAAGTTTATAGATGTAGCTTGCTCAACAGTCAGTAAAATAGCGAGAGACATCTTCAATATTTTAAACGCGATTTAATATAAAATTTATTTATATTAATCTTATAGATATAGTGGCGATTTTGTATATAGGTCCTATTAGATTATGTATAATTTCCTCTTTTCGGTTTTTGAGTAAAGAAAGCTAGAAAATTTTTATAGTTCCTGTCAGACGATTATTGAAACGAATAGGACAGCCACCATTCTTTATTTTAGATTAATATTTTCTATGTGTAACAAAAAATCAAAATATGTACGCTTTTTTCTAAATTAAGTCTTATCTATTCGACCAAAAAGGTGTTTAAAACTAAACGAAGTTGTCTCTGTCAAGCAGTTGACAGCTCGGTTAAGATATTTTACTTAAGTTTCTTAAAATCGATGTCACGTGCCCCGAAAATTTCTAATTCGTTGTGTTTTTTTGGGGCCAATGACATAATATATTCGGAGACGTCTTAACCGATCTCCTCTCTGTCTACAATAACTCAGGGTTTTTGCTGAAACGAGTACAATCAGCCTCATTGGTCCAAAAAGGCTTCAATTTGCTTGTGGGCCATACTTTCCTTCTCTCGAGTTCCTGACTAGTAGTATTTAGAAGTAGGTTATCTCTTTCTAACAGTCTTTACAATTAGAAAAGAAAACAAGAAATATAATATATTCAACACCGAACTTCCAGAAAAAAAATCAAGTGGTTCGGTGTGGTCCTCAGGTTTTTAAGACACCAAAAAATTTTACATTAAATGCTTTTTTGAAATCTGTAAGATGTACCCAAAGATTTAGTTTAGTTTTTCATCTCATATATCCATGCAAAACTGTTTAGGGTTAGTAAAAGTCTATAAAATAAATATAAACTGCCAAAAACGGTCATCTTACAGTCCGTTAACCGTTTAAAAACAAAATTCTATCTACGAAATTAACATATTTAAATTGGTTTGCCATCTTTTCAGCGGACTACACGATAATGCCATATGTTTATCAACATAATTCAGTGATTTTTTCGAAATTACTACTAGTTTTGGTACTTTTTCATATAGGATGAATTTCGAGGCTTTGTTTAAAAAATGAGATCATAATTATCAGTTAATATTTAGGAGTTATTATATTGCTTGTCAGTGTGTCTCTGTAATATAAAAATTCTTGTAAGTTGTTCGACTATCAAATAATATTTGTTTCTCCTTATGATGTGTGAAGTTAGTTTATAAACATAGACCGGATGCATTGCAGATTAAAATTAATTAATTATTTTACTAGAACATTTTTTATAACAAAGATACAGCTATTCTTTTTTACCAGAAATATGTAATGTATCTTTTGAAAAAAAATATTGCTGCATGATAAGTTCTCTTCAAATTTTTCATTCGTGTAGTCCAATAATATATTATCTTGATGATTCTTGTACTACATTCTGGCGTATAGTTAAAAGAATATATATTTAACACATCTCAGTATAATTAGGTAAAACTTAAATTAGAATAAGAAATGGTAAAGTATTCTTGAGTCTGTGTTAAACATATATCATCTTAGAATCATCAAAGACTTGAACAGCGCATATTGTTAGATTATTATATAGTACAAACTGACTACCTTTTGCTAATTACTAGTTGTAATATACTAAGCTGTGTGCCTTTGGTAATTGCAAATGACCTGCTGATTTCAAAAAAGAGCCTGGGTGCTATGAAATATATCTATGTTATTAAAGTTAAGTACAAATGAATAGCGTGTGCTCCTACACATTTTCGGTCTTGTAGATACAAAACAGTATTTTTACTTGTTTAAATATGGACACCAAACGACAAGGTATTAAAATTTAAATTATATGCAGCCTAACTGAGGGTCCACCTTGAAATATAATAAAAGTTGAACAGATGCATAAATATCTGAAAAAAAAGTTTAGGGGTTTTTATATAGAATGAGCCGGCACACATTTTAAATGGAGGGTACATTTTGACCACGAGCCCTCACACAGCTGTTTACAAAATTTCGGAAAATAGAGGGACATCAGTCTCGGCGAAAAAAATACATAAAGAATTTGCATACGCTTTTCCATTTGGCTTTCATGTCGGTTACACCTTTCTTTGTGTACTTATATTCATAATAAAATCATTTATTATTACAAAATAAGCACATAATAAACTTCAGTTTAAATCAGTTTTGATTAATCATCTTAATTACAAAATTTAAACTTATACACATATTGCTTAAATTAAATTAATAATTGTGTTAAAGATAAGATGTATACTTTCTGAAAAAAAAATTATTTTATTTTTCATATATTATAAAAAAATATATATATATTTTGGTATGAAAAATTTCGACTATTTCTTTCAATACTAAAAGACTGAGATTGGTTATTATAATGTTTACATTTTCAAAATTTATATTTCTAAAATGGTTTTAGAACTTTTACACCATTTTTTTGTTCTTTCACTTTGATATCATAATTTTTCAATTTTGTTTTGCGTCTTTTTTTTTCTTTTTGTTTTTGTTTTGTGTTTTTTTTCGTGTTTTTCTTTGTTTTGTGTTTTTATTATTCAATGCCTTGTACTAATATGATTACATACATTTTAAATACTATTCAAATTATTTAAAACATATGCATACAATATGATACATACATTTTTTATAGATGTTTCTATGTAGATAGATACTTTTTTCTATAATTTTTTCTAGATAATAACTGTCTAATTCAATTTAGTTATTTAAACTGAAGATTTTACATGATATAATTGTAATATTAGGATAACAAATTAGTCATCAGAAAGAATAATACTTAAGGAAGGGTGTAATGTAATCTAATTTACTCATTTACTCTCATGGCAGTATCTGTAACATTTTGTAATTACTTTTGTAAACGTTTACCTTCAAGAAAAGATCAAAGATATAGTTACACACCTCCGGAATTCTAAGAAGAGCTTTAATTACTAAAGTTTAGATTTCAAAAGATGTAATGTACGTTATGTATGTACTGACATAACTGGAACTCGTTTATAGTATTTATTCCAAAGCTTACTTCAAAGCGAAATTAAATCTATAGTGTCGAATAACAGAGAAATGAGAACAATCGTCGATAGCCCATACGCATTATGTTAATTTTTGCCCTGGCGTGAGTCACCCCCAAAAACCGTCAAAAAAAGAAAGAATTCTGGGACGAGAAATCAATTTTGGACCATTTCGTATGCATTTTCGTTCGAGGGGTCAAAAAAAGCCGAAAATTTGAATGAGCACACGCTGGATTGTGACAATTCGAGTTGTACAATGCATGCATATAAATTACGTGTGTGAAAACGTCACGGAAGATGTGACCTTTGAAAAAAAAATTATGTATATCGAGCATGGCGGCGGATTATTTTGCGAAATTATCCCAGTGTTTAATGTTGCGTTGAAATATACAGGCAGATATATAATCATATTTAGATCTTGTATTTATTTTATGTTAAGTTGAAAACGACAGTACAAAATATACATAGGTGTATACATAAGTAAGCATATTAGTCTACATATTTATATACAAATTTATTTATACATTTATCTTAAAACTTCATCACGAATTTCCAGCGAGTTCAAACTTCAGTTAGAGAAATTAACAATATTTCTTATAGTAATATTTTAATTAAAAAAAGTATTTCTAAACAATGTTCATCATACAGCTAGTTAAAGCTACATAATGTATATATAGGGTTTACATACAAGTTTTTGGAAAATTCGGACAAATGTGCTCTGGAATCCGAACATCGAAAATTAAAGTTTTGCGTAAAGTTTGTCTAACTAATGAAGTTTGTCTAACTAGTGAATATCTGACAGTGAGGGTTGTCGTCTGTCATTTTAATTCACAGGTGAATTGTATTTTGTGTCATTGTTTGGTTGTCTTCTCACGATATTCTTCCCCGACTCGGTGGGCAGACGGACAGTTTACTTTAGGAGAAATTTAACGGGGGGGTGACAATTGAAAAAGTGTAGTATACTCTTTTGCCCTTGTAGGACTAAGATTTGTATTGTATACATTGTATATATTACGCTCAATAGTCAAAAAATAGCTCAAAAACAATGGTCATTAATTCTCTTACAAAACCGAGGTATGC